TTGCTTCAGATCACCACCTGATGGGTGCCAATTGAAATTGAAGCTAAAAAAAGCACTAGAAAGCCGAAGAAACCGCATTACGAAGGTTCGATACAGCCCTATTTCATGATACTGACAAACCCAAGGGATTCAAGATACCTTTCGACAACAGGTTTGAAACCTTACATTTCAAAGAAGAGGAAATTACAATGGAGAACTATTAGAGGGGACTAAAGGAGCACTAACCTCAACATGACATGAGATGCTGGGTCACAAGAAGTGTGGAATTTATGGTCTACTATGATATTAGTACAGCTCTAACAATAGACTTAACCCTAAAACTGCAGATTTGACACGATGTAACTGCCTAATCTATAAGATCTTACGTGGTAGTCACATTATTATCTACATGAACGCGTCGTAACAACCATCAATATATGATGGAGAACACACTTAGGCTGGAGATAGAACAATATATTCAATACGAATAAAAGGTATATGTTAACATTTAATAACGGCCACGCCTACAAGACCGGGCCATGCCATACGATGGATTCAAACTAATTCAATTTATTGTCACCACCTTCTCCATCGAGTTTTCTCCGCGTTAAATGTTGAATATGTTTTCCCAGTTGTCTCGTGTTCAGCTTCAAGGATTGTATGGTTAAGGCCCAATGCCACTACAGAAGCACCATCATATAAAATGGATCTCTATCGATTCCTTGGAAGAGATTCAAGACAGAGAGGATATGAAGACAGCAATCGACAACAACCGAACAAGAACAGAGAAAGTCGAGACATAAACTGATTACACAGAAGCAAATAGGAGAGTGAAGAGGAACACTAGAGCCGGGAAGTAGAAATATGTGGAAGATCTAGCAACTACAGAAGAAAAGGCCACAAGGAAAGGAAATATGAAATGACTGTGCGATACAGCGAAGAAACTAGCAGGAAACTATGGTAAACCAGACAGATCAGTCAGTGACAAAGAAGACAAACGGATTACTGAGATTTATAGACAGCAAAACAGGTGGGGAGGGTACTTTGAAGAACTAAATGGGCAAGCCCGAGGAACCAATCAGACATCGAAACATCACACACGATCATCTGTGGAAGTGCTAACGCACATCAACGGCCAAAGAAATCAGCGTGGTCATCAGACAAACGAAGAGTAAGAAAGAAGCGGGACGAGACAACAAACTAGCTGAAACACCGAAATCAGACATAGAAGTAACTGCAAAAATGTTTCACATTTTCCTCAGAAAGACTTGGGAGGAAGAACAAGGCCCAAATGACTGGAAAGAAAGATACCTCATCAAGATACTAGGGAAAGCAGTAAGTATGAGAAATACGGAGGCATCACACTACTATGGGTACCAGAGAAAGTTTTCATTAGTGTTGTTGAACCGGATAAAGAATTCAGTAGACGCCAAGCTTTGAGATCAACAGGCTGGATTTCGTAAAGATCGATAGTGTACCAACCTAATTGCGATGCTACTGATCATTGTTAAACAATCAGTTAAACGGAACTCGTCACCATACATTAAATTCCGTGACTAGGGAAAGGCATTTGACAGCATGGATAGGAGGACTTGATGGAACTGTCTTTGACACTATTCTGTACCTGAGAAGGTTATAACAAGCAGATGGAATCTTTACGGCGAACCATACTGCAAGATTATGGGAGGAGACGGATCAAAGGATTTCAGGATAAATGTGAACTACACAGTAGGGAGCTTTGGGAAACGTAAAAATATGTGATAAACGATAAAGTTCAGGGGTTGAGAAGTGGATGGAACGATTGAACTAAGTGATAATAAACGGAATAGTTAGGGTAGACGGATACCTTCTTTCCCATAAGTCACTAGGAAGGTTTCCGGTCCAGCTAACTTTCGAACTTCCCCCTGTCTCTTATTTGATAATCACACACTACCATGCTGTTGAAAATTATCTACGACCTGGGGAGCTGTTTATTTATGAGAGTACTATATATTGGTCTCTCGATGAAAAAATAGATGTTAGCCGATCCCTATCGGAAGCTGTATTTATGCTAGCCTCCTTAGGCCTCAGAAATCCCAGGGATATGACTGAAGTACTGTTTTGTCATAGGGGAACAGACTTAACAGTTATCCAGCCAGAATTAAAGAAAGAATTAAAAAACCTGAGAGAAATGGTTCACAAAGAGTTGTTGGACATATGAATAGAGGGGAAATATAATCCACTCTTGGCTAGCATGATAATCAGAAGTACTTGGACTAGTGTGCTAGAATTTACGAAATAGTGCAATTTAAGACAGCTAGAACTAAATGATCACTATCGTACATCTTGTATTTGTAATTCGTGATAGGCACGTAATTAAGTACAAAGGACTCATCAGTTAGTACAAATACCACAGTTAGTCGTTGTCTGAACTTGTAAGGAAGATCTGTATGATTTCTAAGACGAGTATTCCACTCCATAGTTAGTGATCACTGCTTGGTTGATAGAAACATAGAAACGTTAATGGGTGAAGATAAAAGTAAACTTATTACTTATCAAAATTGTCTTGAAGAAGATGACTATTTCTCAATGGTGATAAAAAACGAAATAACCAAGGAACCTCCAGATGTAGCCAAAAAGTCATGCACAGATGTTTGACTACTTGGTATAGTTTGCACTGCCAATGTTGGAAAACGTGAGTATGCGAGGACTGCTGGAGTACAATCTGAGAGTTAGCTATTGATTAATGTAACATCCGAAACCTAAAACTCTTCGATAGTTGAGACACGAATGGTTGCAAGATTTACGATCACTGACCAGAAGTACTAAGACCGATTAAATTGCACAACCAGATAAGAACTTGTCGAGTAAAATTTCATGCCTAACAAATATTGTTCATTGCAAAAATCATAAGAGCACGTTTGCTGTAGGCCCTTGATATTAAGGTTCCCAGAAGTTCGGTAACCACCTGATCATGAATCCGAATACGTAGGTGTTCGCCGGAATTACGCTTATAGGCTTGCTTCTGAGTTTTCAAAATAAAATCCTTGATTTGTGAGTTTGTGCAGTAATATGTACTTTAACGAGTTCCAAATGATATAACACAAAAATGATCAGCTAGTGATCACTTCATTTTGAAGGATGGGAAAGACGTTTCTCTACCAGGAAACGAAACCCTCTTTAATAAACCGTTTGATTATCTCCCAATCGACGTAGTAAAATCAGCGAGGATTATTTATAACACCTGAAATCTCCAACACTGACAAATTGAAAGGTAATTTCGCAGTATAATCGAAGCCCATTATTGTAGCGATGTCAAACAAAATGATTAAACTCTGTCAGGAATTGGGATAAAGTAATATAATAGAAACAAGCATATGAGCGACATGATGAACTGAAAAATCAAGAATATACAGCAAGCAACAAAGCATTATTAAGAATTTACAACTAATAAAGTGACCGTCCATCACAAATTTGTGTCACTGCACACTTTCATTTAAATCAACAATTTTTTTATCCGTTCATATCTTAGTTACAAATGACCTTGACCACACTAATTTTTTAAAATATAAAGGTTCAGATGAAGTTGAAGCGGTTTCTTTACGATACTACCCTCCAGGTAAACTGAAAACGTCAAGCGAAACCTTTAATATATAAAAGGTATCATACTGGACTATGAACAAGGTGGAGCTACCAAAACAAAGTCTATAGACCTTTTGGAATTAACACCTGAGTAGGTATACAGCTCACTTTAATTTTTTGCTTAAAGAAGTGATACCGAGAAAATCCTGAAAGAGTTATGCAGCAAGGAGCCCTTAATCACTGAGAAGCGGAAAATTCAAGTTCAGGAGCTAATTGAACGTTTGAAATCGAAGCTTTGTTCCAGTAGTAAAACTAAATTTGGTCAATATAAAGTATAAAAACATCTATTCTAACTAGTGCTGTAGATATTACGTGCACATATTTTGCCCCTAACTAATGTGGCCTTCAACAAAAGCGGAAGCCAGTAAGTTGTTAGACCTGTCATAAGTATGATGACATATTATGTAATGTGACGACGGTTTCGTTTTCTCGGCCTTCGATCAGCATAAAATATATAATTTCTTGACCAAATTTCCATAGATTTGTTCCAGTAGCTATCGATCAAATGTTTTAGTTGCTGGAGGTTAGATCCATTTTGACTGTTATTTTTGACGTTAGAGTATAGAAGTTTGGCTCAAAGTCTTCGAACTATCGCTACAAATGACTGATTTATTACTATCAGATACCATAAAATGTGATTAGATTAGAATTTGAATATTCACTCTCCATATTTTCAACTTGACACTTCTACCTCGGTTTCCATTTCATTCCTGCCTTAGAACTAGGACAAGGCGTATATTAACGTATAAGCCACTTATCATTTAGTATCAACAATACAACAGACCATCATATCATTTGCCAAACGCAGTGGTCAATTTACACTTTCACAAAGCAGAATAAATGATAAAAATGCCTAGTCTTCTGACCGTGAAAACTCCTACAGAAAACGTCTGACCTAAAATCTAATTTATCAGGTGAATTCAAAAGTTTCTACATTTCATCTGGAAACATTTATATCAGATATATCATATAGGAGTCAGTTTGTTCACTTATATCTTCATTCGCACCTAGAATATTGAATTTTAGGACGATAACCCTTGCTTGTCGGTATTTTATACGATAAGAATATTTATGAAAAAGTCTTTGCTTACCTTGATCTGTTTTAAGAAAAACACTCCTATGTGGCACTTTTTTTGGTGAAAAGTTACGTTTTACTGACTCAAGGTGGGAAAAACTGAGGTAAGAACATAAAAGATGAATTAAAGTAAGAAGAAGTAATGTATTCAAAACTTACAAGACGATGGAAATGTATCATTTGAAAACTACTAATCACTGGACTTCTATTCAGCGATTATGTACTTAATCCAAGGTCAGAATTTCGAAGAGTACTAAATTAAAACAGAGCAGCGTTTTGCTGCTCCCTGTTTTCCATGAGTTTTTATGGTTGATTTCAGGTGGAAATGGAGATAATTTTATGGTAATTGTTGTTTATTTCTTCTGACACTATTTTCTACATGTTATATAGTTTTATTACTGGATCTTATGATCGTACATGTAAAGTTTGGCAAACTGAAACTGGATGTGAAGTATACACACTGGAGGGACACAGAAATGTGGTATATGCAATTGCATTTAATTTGCCTTTCTCAGGTAACTCGGTCTATGTTATATATATCGTCACCCTAAATGTAACCAAAGTCTTTACACATCATTTCATAAGTACACCTCAGCTTTGGATTACCAAGGGCAGAATTTCATTCGTTAAATATTATCTATTAGATATCGATGGCAATTTATCAATTACAATGTGTGATTACGCATCAAAATTGTTGCTTTTTTTTAAAAGTAACAGTCTAAAAAAGAACTGAAAACTTATCAGTCAATTAATAATCCTTACCCAGAGAGTAATAAAGCAGGAGCCACAACTCAATCTATCAGTCACCCAAAAGCAACATATAATCTGATGTGTGTGTGCAAATTGGTTCAAGTTGCCGTATCTCGTAGCCCCGACAAGATTATGTTGCCAGGGCAAACCCCGGATTGGTTGAGGTAGTAGCGGTATTAATGGTGATAGAAAAAAATCAGAGATTGAAGTTACAACCCGAGAGGAAAATACATATTAGGGAAATTATGGAAAAAAATTGTGAGGAAGTTAAAAGCTCAGGATCCAACAGAAGACAACGGGTTAATACATTTGTGTCATTTCCAACTATTTTGGGTCGTCATTCAAAGTTTCTGACAATTGGTCACGATAATCACGTCGACCCCTACTAGGTGATCTGCACCTACTTATATGGCTGAGTCTAATAATCGCTGTCCTCATGGACCTATCTTTGATCGCACCTCTAGTTGACTTCCAACCTACTTCTCTATCAGATATCATCATTGTTTGAGGTTTCGGGTGGACAAACATGCACAATACATGTCCTAATTACTTCAGTCGATAAAAATGTACTACCTTGTCAACAGATTTGCCATACTTATCTAGTAATCGGTGTGTAACCCCTTAATCACTAACCAAATGATCCTAAAATATACAAAGAATGCTTCGAAAACACCTACAATTGAATACTAGTAACCGGCAAATACCGACCATTTTTAAAGGCCATCTTTCACACTCCTAACGAAGAACAGAACAAACAGCTGTACAGTAACACTTGTATTCGTTAAGTTTGTCACATTAATGTCATCAAGGCTCGAAGATAGTTTTTTTCATTAGTTTGAAGGTAGTTTTCATCAAAGATTAATTCTGGCTAAAAACTCATTGAGAGTTTGTGACTGTTAGAGTTATGTGTTTGGCCAAATAACTGAACGTTTATAGTTCAATTTTGTTATTAATAGCTAGCTGTTATAACCACTTATATAGATTATAATTTGAATCGTACCTTTTATCTTAGTCAGTTCTTAAACTTCACAAAGTTTATTTTTGTTTACACTGGGGTTCAAATCCACTGAATTTTCGAACCTTCTTTAGAAATAAACTGATGTTAATTTTTATCTAAGCTTCTGAGCACACGGTCACGTGTCGTGTAGAGTCTGGTGTTCAGAAACCCAATAAAAATTATTATACGAAATTTATGGAACGCATTACAAGCTTTAGTTTGTGAGGTGTCTACGTTATCTACCATATCCTTAAAACTAAATAAGAATGCCTCCTAAGTTGTTTATGTTAAGTTAGTTACAACAAAACATAATATTCTGTATGAAAGCTAACAGCTATATTGAAATTACAAAACGAGACAACATCAAAATAAGAACGAAGAACACCAGAAATGTAAACTATCATTGAAGCAGATGTCTAATGACTACACTAAAATTAGAAACAACTGTTACAAGTATTAGGGAGATGTAATTACAATAACATAAAATGAATGTTACCAGTTTATATAGTTAGTTGGAAACAATATTTACGGACAGATAGCATTCCATTTTTAAAAACTATTAAAATTGAACTAACTACTGAATATTAGTAAGTAGTATAACCTAATGTACGAAAAGGAGTAAGAAAGGACGAGAATATTGATAGAAAATGTAAACAGACGACAACGAGATTTAATTCTTTAGTCTTCTTTTTAAACACAATGGTACCCATACTTTCAAAATGTGAAGGTGAAGAGATTCACAGAACAAGTAACTAGTTTTTTTATTGGGATTTACAATGCCTTACGATTTATTTTCAAAAGCTACCCAGTTCATTGAAAATCTAGACCTGAATCTATTGAAACCACTTCAAAGCTCTTATTAGAGACTACAAATGGTTAATCAGTTAATTAAACTAACCAACAATGATTATTACTTTTACAATACACTAAGAGGTGTAGTAGTAAAGAAATCTGTACAAAAGTACAACTTTTTTTAATTTATCGTACATAAATTCAAACAAAAATATTAAATTGAATTAAACCAAAATATATTTAATATCAGATGGGTTTTGTTGAGATTGTAGTAATTTCAATGGTTAAGATCATGAGTCAGTTGAAGATAGACCACCATGGAAACGATGCCAGAAGCCGTTTATTGCTTCCATGTTTTCCATGGTGGTCTAGCTTCAACTGACTCATGGTCTTAACCATTAAAATAATATTTATTATTATATTAAAACAGATTGAAACAATGAATCTATGAAATTCATTATAGTCAATTTGTTTCATATTTGTTTATAATTCATTCAATATTCATTATAATAATCTTTTCATTTTAGATAAAATTGCTACTGGTTCATTTGATAAAACTGCTAGATTATGGAGTGCTGAAACTGGTAAATGTCATTATATTCTACAAGGTCATACAGCAGAAGTAGTTTGTATACAATTTAATCCAACTAGTAATCTTATTGCTACAGGTAAATCATAAAGTTAAATGATTTTTTGTAAAATGCATATTTGAATATTCAATTTTACCTTATTTTAGTGAAAGTATTTTATGATAAGATTGTAATTTATGGACGAAACAATCAGGTATAAGATAATAGGTCTCGGATTTGGGCATGAAATTCACTCATTCATTTTGGCTAAATAGAGTCTTGGCATTATAGCTAATGTCAGTTCGTGATAAAACCCTAAAGCTAATTCCTGACCTTAATCATCAACCGTAAATCATAATTCGAATTCCTCACACTAATTTATAACCCTCAGTCTGGTCCTAGTTATCAGGTAGATACTCTCAAGGTCAGTCTAGCGTCACTAAAGGTCTTCCATAAATTATAGTCTCACTGTATTTTATATTTTTTCGTCAAATTTATGTGATATTATTTTATCCTATTTTATGTAAATCTAATAATCATTCATGGCAAAAACTATACAAACAGATTTAAGTTATTTAATTCATGAAAAGTAGAATAGTTGCATAATTTGAATCGATAATTTCAGTGACGTTTGATAGAGCTTTTCTCTATCAAGTTATGTTACAGAGACAATTTTACCGGAGGCAATCATATTATAACCAATTTAAAAATAAATGATCGTTTGCTACTCATGATTCAAATCTTTGATAACTACCACTTCATCATAATAGCTCTCTTCACATTACGTAAGAATAAGATTACAAATGAAAGTTGAACTACCTCCTTTATCATACTTCTGAATGGACAATTTTCTAATTTCACCTCAAAGAAACCTACTAGGGTTGAACTTATTAATGACTTCATAGTAACTTAATTAAACTTCCAAAAGAAATTCGTGTTGAACAAAAAACATATATTTATCATATATTTGAGAAGTTCTTTTAAAGAGGAAATACAAATACTTATTTCTATTTCTCAACTTCATAGTTTACTATATATGAATATAACTATTTCCATCAGAATCATGTTCGTGAATAAAGGTGATACATCATGTAATGTCATCAATTTGTTCACCATTTTTAAATTCTTGATTCTGTAGAAAAAATTAGAAACTGACTTTTACATTGTGCTTTATTACGTCTCTGTGTAGTAACCTTAGGATTACTGCTGGTATTCCAAAGGTCACGTGTTAAGATGAATCTACCATTACCTATAATTGGATGAGGCGATAAACCGCTTTATTTACTTTTGACAGAGCATTTAGTCTGCATGTCACAGCTCCAGTGCATTTGAGAACTGCATATAAGCCCTCGAAAACTGGACGTGTTTTTTCAAGCTCAGTCGTTCAGTCGTTTATGTGAGGTCGTTTTTCGAAGATAATTTCTGAACTTCGCAACAGTCATGGAATAATGCATTAATCTGTTATGTGCAGACTGTCTTATCTATAAGGACTATTTCTAATCCCATGCTAGGTTGAGTAATTACTTGTTTCTCATAGGAAGTTTCATTCCGATGCATCCAAATGATACTAGTCAGTGCATTAATAGAAAGCTATTTTTATTAACTTATCAACAGAACTCCATCAAACTCCCATTATGCTCCCAGAGTTCATCTCTTACGTTCACAAGAAGCCATATAAATATACTTAAATAAAATCAATTCTGGGATGCAAGTACATGCAGCTGACGTATCCGAAATAGGATGAAACGTGTGTCTTAAGTTCTACTGCTAGCCACCACCTAACTCTGCTTAAAAAACTGTGTAAAATAGAAACAAACATCAAGTAAACGGTTGAAGTTGTCCGAAATTTATTGAAGGATAAACATAAATATTATTAAATGTTGACCAAATACAAATTAAAATATAAGATTTATTCTTAAACTTTTAAATACTACTAAAAAATACAACAATTATTCAACGATAACATACTAGAATAAAATACAAATAATGGGGTTCATTCCTTTCCATTACATTCTTTTCATTTGGCTATAAGAAATAATAACAAATAATTGATTTAATATCGATGTCATGAATGAATCAATATTAGACAACCATTGAAAACCTGGAAGCACCGGGCGGCCGTTTTGGCCTAGTACAGGACTCCTCGGCAGTACGTATCCCCAATGGTGTTAATGTCCATTCATGATATCAATCTTAACTCAAAAATCTCCACACCCCTATACTGAAAATCATTGGGTTCTTTTTTCAAAACGTTAAAGACTTAATAACCGACTCAGTCAGTCAGCTACAACGTAGGCTCAGGCACATATATGCGCCGGTCTAAGTTGCCACACCTCATTAGCACAACAAGATGAACAACAGATTCATGGAAGCAGTTACGTCAATGGTAGTAATATATAAAAGAAAGATTGCGTATAAGGATTAGTACGTAGAAAGAAAGATATGAAGCAATTTTAATCCCATAGTTTAAGGGAAGACATAGTGTGTACACTTACGCTATTGTGATCGATTCTGAGCCATGTCACCAAGAGTCTCCAACCACTGGTTACGATAGTCACGCGGATCCCAACCAAGTAGTCGGCATCCAACATGGCTCAGACCAGAAGTTAATAACTTTATGGACTGATGCCACGTTTAGGTTAGGCCGCCCTTAACTTTTTTATATTCGTCTCCAACACTAGTCAACATTGCGCGTCGTCGTAATTGGTCCTCAGGCATACCTACCTAAGTTCACAAAGGGCGGAAGAAATCCAGGTTCAAAACGAAGATTTATCTACAGAACGATTCTATAAGAAATATATGTAAATTAGTTACAAATCTCACCTCGTGGGGTGTCTGTGGCGATTAATGAGTCCGTATATATGGAAAGGAGAGTTCTTCTTTCAATTAGTACGTGGACCAGTGATAATATTTGGTAGCTTAATGACAGTCGGTATCTTTGTCTACAATCAATAAGGACTATCAACTATACGGAGACTATGAGCATAAAAATATGGAAGCTGCAGTTTTTAGACAATGATTCGACGAATTCACAAAAACTGAAAGTGACTACTGCGAGTGCTGAGAGACTTTGTGTTCAATGACAAATAAAATAGATGTTATTAGTTTATGTAAATACTTGGGAGCACAACGTCAAAACATATATACGTTACACTTCAACTTCATTTTGCCCATCTCCTTTTCGTGTATTACTTATACTACTAATAATTACTAAGTAACTAGTTTTATTCCTCATAACTTTTGGGCATCAAAACATAATGGGAATGAAATCAACGGTTTCCTTGTGTATTCTATTAAGTCTTTACTTATCTTGAATATTCTTTGAAATTTCCATTCTGAACATTCTTATTAACTTCTAACACTCTTTCTTGACACAACTGTATTCTATTTTGTGATTTATCTTGTGTTCTGAAGACCTACACTAATTCAGTCACATATGGGGCACATTTTACTTAAGATAGCGTTTCTGATTGTGTGAAATTGACGGTCGGACATCTCACTTTCCGAGGTTAAAAACCCATAGTGCTTACTTTGCTTCGGATACCAGGACTGTACTTTTAAACAATCCTGCCTTTGGTTTAAGACTTTCACGTGTGAACTAATCGCTGGGTTGGAATAATTGTATGGAATTTCTGAAGACTACTGGAAGAAAAATATCCATCTCGCTTAAAAAAATGAATGAAATCTATCAGTCAAATTTACTAATTTTACCTAAAATTGAATGAATGATCTGAAAACTAAGATTCATTAGTGATTTGTAAACTGTCCAAACAACAGCGTAGAAATATAATCCCTTTTAAATTAATTTTAACCATCTACAAAGATAATGTGATGTATGCCGGATGATAAATATTTTTCACATTCAGTTTTTCAGTGAGTAGATATTTTATTATAATGATGATTATAAATAATTGATAATGATTTATTTTAGGCAGTATGGATACTCTCGCAAAATTATGGGATGTAGAAACTGGAAGTGAATTAGCCAGTTTAAATGGTCACACAGCTGAAGTTATTGCATTACAATTTTCTCAGTGCAATTCAATCACAACTTATGGAACATCAAGTGAAAATAATGGTCCTTATGGAGATTCTGTATGCGGAGCAGGTAATGGACGCCTAATGTTAACAGGAAGCTTTGATCATACTGTTTGTTTATGGGATGTAAGAACTGGTGAACGCACACACCATCTGATTGGTCATGCTGCAGAAGTCTCAGCTGCCTCATTCACTTATGATACTTGTTTAGTTGCAACAGCTTCAATGGACAAGACTGTTAGAGTGAGTTTGATTACAAACAATATAATCGAATGTTTTAAGACTGATAGTCTACGGTTAGAATTGTAATTCCAAGGTACTACGTGTTAACTAAGACGGAAATATTAATGGAATCATCATCAGCGACAATAGAGACAATTCTTACCTATTTAGTATATTTATGTTACCAGATCAAGCAAATCTTGTTCTAACTGTTCTGGAAAGATTTCAGGCACAGGCCACATACAGCGAAATAAATAAAAAGAGACTGATAAACCTAATCAGAGTTCGGATTTTAAATTCATAGTAAAGAAACGGTACTTAACTGTACTTCCACAGTAATTACGACTATCATTTATTTTTTTCATAACATTTTATGCAAATTAACTAACACGTCTAGGTGTGGGATACTAGAACTGGTCGTCAACTACACTTGCTTACCGGTCATCAGGATGAAGTCTTAGATGTAACATTTGATCCCAGTGGTCGACGTCTGGCTAGTGCTAGTGCTGACGGTACCGCAAGAGTATGGAATGTTGGTATAAGTGGAGAGACAAAAAGTGCGAAATTCCTGTCTACACTTATAGGACATGAAGGCGAAGTTAGCAAAGTAAGTTATCTTTTACTATTAAAAATTATTTTATCTTTAAATATGATGCACTCGACCTCGGTTTCCTTGTTATCGTAATTTATTTCAGTAATTTGCGAGATTTTTTGATTATTTTGTAACTTGGACTTTAAAGGTAGAGTACACATGTAGATTGTAAGTATTCGGTCAAATATACATTTGAAGCGTTGTTCGGGTACTGTTGAACTATCAAGTGAGTAATAATGAGGTTAGACAGACGGTTTTTGGGTAGAAATGACTAGCTGATTGGTGAGGATTTTAGCCTTCATTCAATTAGGTGATTGGGTTATGTGTTACTACAGCCTACTTCAATGTTAAATGCTACCTGACATGAGTGATTTTGAAGAAAGATAAAAGTAATTGAACGAATAAATTGTATTAGCCTATTAAATCCTCGACTGTAAAAACGGTTTACATCGAGAGGTCTTGCGATCCGGAGGACACTCACAAAATATGGTTCGAGACACTAAATCATGTAGTATGAATCTGGACTCACTGGTCCAGATGTATCCAGTCTTAGTCATCCTATGGATCTTGGGCTTATTGTCTTTTCACACTCTTGGCTTGCTGATTTCGTCTTCTTCTTTCGAATGATACTTTTGTGCTAAGCTTCCCAATGCAGCTTATGTTGTTTCCCTTCTATTCCTTCTCCTATCCGTCGGTTTCACTAGATGTGTTGATATGAATTGTAGTAAATTAAGTCAACTCATATTTGTGAGTGATCTCATCTTAGTTATGACCAGTAGAATGACCATCAACATTTCATTATAGATACAAAAGCAGAAGATTTTGTAGTTTTAATAACGGATACCTACGAGTTAAAGCTATTTAACATGTTCTTAAGTTATTCGAAAAATTGTCTTAAATCCTGTCGAAGCTTCCGAATATACAACAAAGTGACATGTAGCATCTGAAGATTAAAAACATAAAATTATCTGCAATACGATATAATTATTAAGAATATTTAATTACAATAATAAATAAATTGAATATTATCTGTTTATGTCTATGCTTAGAAATGTTAAACTAACAGAAGAGATACAACACAGTCCCTTCAAAACTCACTAGACTTTATTGGTTACTGAATATTAGTAAGTAGTATAATTTAATATACAAAGATAATACAGATGGAAATCTATACAGACTTGACAATGAGGGTAAAATAGCTTTATCCCAATAAGAAATTAATTAAAACATATGGAGGATACTTCTTATGAATCTAGACTTCTGTCAGGTCTTAATTGAGTAATTTGTTTATTAAAATTAAAGCACATTGCATTAAAACAAGGCGTCACATTGCTATATCCACTGATTCACTTGTAATAATTTGTTTCTCGATTGTTGAACTCTCAAGGACACTTTCAATCTAACTCGAAATTCATTCTCATCATAATTCCCTTTCGATACTTGAAATGCCGGTCACGTTCATATATATATATATATATATATATATATATATATATATATATATATATATATATATATATATATATATATATATATAGACCTCTCTGCTCCGATTCGCCCGATGTACTTGCAACTTTTTGATCTGTGCTGTAGTTGCCACTTATTATTGCCTTCTGAATTCAAACACCGTTGATATTTATATAATAACGGTTGTCGAGGTGATTGGTTAACGAAGCTAAGCCACTACACAAGATTCATGCACAATAACACATCAACGATCGTTGTGGTAATTGAGAAAGAAAGTAATCAGGAGTTTGGAAAATAGCATTGTTGTGACGTTCGAACGGTATGAGCAGCCTAGCGTCCTTATTGATCCTATGTTCGCCTAGCCCGTCCATTTGAGTCCAGAACACCAATACCAGCTTCCACTATGCGAATCATATATTTCAAACATACTGGATTTGTATATCAACCAAAGAGACATCAACCCACCATAAAATAGGAAATAATATTTATACAAGATCAAGCCAATAAGTGGTTGTGAACGTGGAAGACAGTAATTAATAAACTGAGTATAATTTAAGAACAGTAAATCGTATAATAATAAATTATGGGTCAAAATGAAGCTTATAATAAGAGGAATATAAATATACATAATCTAATAATTGAATAGTTATACAATAAGAATATTTATAGAATATTAGTCCATTAATAGTCCTCGGAAGTTACCCGTAATTTAATCTTCACTAGGATATAACAAGCATGATTTTCAAAGAAGTTGGAATTGTAATTGAATAACTCTATACATTTAGTGTCAAATTTGACCTTGAGGCATATAGTAAAAGTAACGAATGGAAAGTAGGGACGACCAATCAGATAACAACAAACGTCAGTGTAAGAATCTGAACTCGAAAAAGTTGTCACGGTTAGCCTTAAATGTAACATTTATTATTTATCAATAAAATGTGTTAAAGCTGACTCACAGAGGAGAACTTAATGAACTATTTATGATTCTAGGATTAGGATTCAGACTTTAAAGTTTGGATGAATAGTTTACAATGAAGAATTACGGTCTCGATCAAGTTTACAGAATGAAGTTTGTAATTTCAAATTAAGAGTTCAGGTTAGGGGTTAGGATTGTGAGTAAGGTAACGGTTAGTCTTAGATTCTAATCTTAAACTCTTCATTGTAATTCTGAATCATACTCTAATTTGAACTGTTAACCCTAAATCTAAGTCCCTAATTTTAACCAAGACTCCTGAACCTTAATCCTCAAGGTAAACTTAAATTTCAAACCGTAAATCCTAATTCAAAAGACACTATGGTATTCCAGTATTGCTTACGTCATTGAAACGAACCATCCATGTTGATATACAACATTTTGTCTGATATATATACTACGAACTTGAAGTGACTTACTCGTTTCTGAATTCCTCGCCCTTATAAGTTAACTTTCGTAATATATACATATATAGTATTGATATTTTTTCATATTAGCCATTATTATTTTCTTTACCAGGTATGTTTTAATTCACCTGGTAGTCTAGTGTTAACAGCTAGTTCAGATAAAACAGCACGTTTATGGGATGTAGAAACTGGTGAACTAAAAGATATTTTATCTGGACATACAGATGAAGTATTTAGTTGTGCATTCAATTATGAAAGTGATACAATTATAACTGGATCTAAAGACAATACATGTCGTATATGGAAATAACATTTTTAATAATAATCATTATCATGAACTTTCTTTGACTTCTTTTGTGTTTTTTTTTCTTAACTCGAAAGGTTTCTTCTAAAGTCCCTTAAAAAAGAAAGTTGTAATTTTTACTTGAATTTCATTTCATTTTAAAGAAGAAAAAAAAGAAAGATTGCATTTCTTGTGTATATTCACTTACCTCGGTGTTGTATGATTTCAAATCTAATATACACTATTTATTGCTCAGTTATTCTCTTTCCTTATATATCTGTATATTCAAGGACATAATACTAATTACTAACATACTTAAATGAGAAATAATGAAATACACCACTGAAAGGATGTAATTTTTAAGAAATTATTTTACCTAGAATAATAATTCTGTTTATTATTGAATGATAAGTAGCTTCAATCCAGCACCAGACTTACCGCCTAAAGCTAAAGATCTTATCATGTCATTCGATAAAGTACTTTTATTTTTTAGCATGTATGAGCTATCAACTTTATGAATATGACAATAGTTTGTATTAATTTTAGTCCAGAAATCATTGACAAGATAAGATAGAAATGTAATTAATAAATAAGTGACACTAAAGTCGTGATTCAAACTGATTATTCATAAACCAATATATAAATAATCCTGTTTTGTCTATTTCAAGTAATCGTTTATAATAAAATCTAAAATGAAAATCGAAATAAAATATTGAGAATCTTAAATATTTCCAGATAAATGTATTCAGATCTGTGTTTTCATTAATACGATCATTTATTAGTCTATCATTGATTTTCATTTAAAATAAGAAGGTATTGGAACCTTCTGAAATTTTTCTTCAGTTTTACTCACTTACTTACACCTGTTACTCCTAATGGAGCATAGGCCGCCGACCAGCATTCCCCAACCCACTCTGTCCTGGGCCTTCTTTTCTAGTTCCATTCAATTCTTGTTCATTTTTCTCATGTCTATCTCCATTTTCCGGCGTAATGTGTTCTTTGGTCTTCCTCTTTTCCTTTGGCCTTGAGGATTCCATGTGAGGGCTTGTCTCGTGATAAAGTCGGGTGTTTTCCTCAATGTGTGTCTCATCCACTTCCAGCGCTTCTTCCTGATTTCTTCCTCCACTGGGATCTGGTTTGTTCTTTCCCACAGTTGGTTGTTGCTAATAGTGTCCGGCCAACGGATCCGAAGTATTTTGCGTAGACAACTGTTAATAAACAATTGTATCTTCTGGATGATGGCTTTCGTTGTTCTCCAGGTTTCTGCCTCATACAGTAGAACTGTCTTGACATTTGTATTGAAAATCCTGACCTTGATGTTGGTTGACAGTTGCTTTGAGTTGCAGATGTTCCTCAGTTGTAAGTATGCTGTTCTTGCTTTCCCGATCCGCACTTTCACATCTGCATCAGATCCACCCTGTTCATCAATGATGCTGCCCAAATACGTAAAGGTTTTTACATCTTCCAAATCTTCTCCGTCAATTTTGATTGGATTGGTGCATGCTGTGTTGTATCGGAGAATCTTGCTTTTCCTTTTGTGTATAATGAGACCTACTGCTGCTGAGGCTGCTGCCACACTGTTCGTCTTCTCCTGCATCTGTTGTTGCGTTTGGGATAGAAGGGCCAGATCATCTGCGAAGTCTAGATCATCCAACTGCATCCTAGATGTCCACTGTATCCCGTGCTTCCCTTCAGACGTTGATGTCTTCATGATTCAGTCGATCAGCAGGAGAAAGAGAAAGGGTGAGAGTAAGCAACCTTGCCTGACACCGGTCTTCACTTCGAACGAGTTTGTCAACTGTCCTCCATGCACAATTTTGTAGTTTAATCCATCATAGGAATTCCTTATGATATTGACTATTTTCTCAGGCACGCTGTATTGTCGAAGAAGCTTCCATAGTGTTGTTCTGTCCACGCTATTAAATGCTTTCTCGTAGTCAATGAAGTTGATGTAGAGTGATGAATTTCATTCATACATATATCATTCATATATTTCAGACTGATCTACCACAGTTGGGATTCAATATGAAAGAGACATACTATACACATGTAATACCCTCTTTCTGCAACAACAACAACAACAAAAACGAGTTCGTTTATGTCTAAATTTAAACTATTCAACTATTGTCAATTTTGTCCTCGTTTATATAACATCGACAAATTCATAGATATTTTAATTAAAACATTCAAGATTGACTGATAAATTAAACTTTTATAAAAATAAGAAAGATTGGTTCAGTGAAGCGATGATTCTCTTCTCAAAGAATTTACTTTTAAAGTTCTGTAATCCTAAATACATATATATTTTTCCAAAATGATATGCAATAATATATCTGTTAATAATAATAATAATAATAATAATAATAATAATAATAATAATAATAATAATAATAATAATAACAGTGACAACAATTCGCTGAACATAGCAACAGAAAAGAGGAATAAATAAAAGCACAAAAAAAGTTATTCTCACCAAGAAAAGGATTGCGTAACTTGATAAGGTGTTAAGGTTAAAGCGAAATGTAGTTAGAAGGAATATGAAGGGAGAAACAAGTTGGCTGGGGGGGGTTAGAGGTTAATTGAGGGAGATATAGAGGAATGTTGATGGATATGGAGAACTTGATGTTGAGACTATGGTAGAAGAAACAATTGAATAAGTATTTATGTGTGTTTTGATGAAATAAAAATGATAATAGATATTTGAGAAATGACTGAACTGTAATAAAATTTCAATGAGCAACCTCTGCACTTGCAGGTCTGGATCAGATAACAGAAAAAACGCAAAAATTAGATGAAACAGTACTGAGTAGCTGGAGATTCATCATAATCATATGTTTAAGTTTGATATTTTTAATACCCATAAAAAGATATGTGGCAGGGGAGAACCCAACAAATTCCCTAGTGTTACGCCATCAGTTTGATGATATATTTTGCAGCTAAATTGGGACTGAATGACTCCTGAGCATTTAGAAAGTAAACGTTTGAATTGAAGTACTGTCAAAGACAGAAGATCAAAACCCTGGTAGATAATATTTATGGTTTCTTAATGAAGTGTTTTGGTAAACAAGAATACTACGTCACCAGGCACCATGGTCATTTCAAACCAGTTAGGGTGATTCACTTTACCAGCTGCAATGAGATTTTTGAAGTATATTCAGACAATCACTGATGAACATGTCCTGTCGTATTTACTTGTCAGGAGTCAACTTTATAATGAGGTAAATCAACTACTGATCATATAGCTATTCAGTATTTAGTTCTTCGGTAATGGCTATCAAAGTGTCTCTTTTACTCTTGGTTTCACAATCAACCAGATTATTATTATTATTATAACAATTACCAATGATAATATAAGATTCAGAATTCGAAATAAAATTGCTGGAACAAATTCATTTTATTTGAAGCTTTTTATCTTTAACATCTCTTTGATCAAATTCGATTGTGATTTCTAGACAAAACACCTTTCAGTTAGTCCTCAATTGACAATGTAAACCGAATAAATTTAATAGGTTACTTGATCAAGACTGGATTCATGAATTTTCGGTACACGATAAACATCACTAAAAGATTTCAAGCTAGTAAAATAAACAACCTAACGTTTTACAGTTTTCATGAATAAGTTTCTGTAGACTGGTTGATTAATACCAAAGGGACTATATAGGCTCGCTTTTTTTTTCTGCCAGTAATGATAATAAGGAAGAAAATTATTTCTAACCTAAACTATGGTGGTTTATGAGTTGGTTTTAGTGGTTAAAACTTTTGTTTAAAATAATGAGTCATGTAAATTGTTTTGTTGTTAGTTTTGTGTTATTTTTTCTGCTTTAAACATGAATCAGCTAAACTTTTAGTAGATGAATGAATGAATGAATGAATCAACACTGCCATCTCTTTGTGTATTGCGCTATATAATATACATATATAGATAAATCCTTTTGTATATTGGTCAATTAAAGAAAATATGTCTAACTCGTAGGGTCACAAAATAATGCAAATTTATAGGACATCACACAAGTTGTTATAGTCTATCTTAAAAAGTTACTATGATTGTACCCCTAAAGTCTAGGGCAATATATATATATATCGAACATGTGAACATGATTAGTTGTATCACATTAGTTGCATGAATCATTAGTTTCACGAAAAAAAAAGAGAAAAAAAAAACAGGTACTCACTATGACTCAGCAAATAAAAATGACTAATGAAAATTCTAGAGAATAAATAAACAAAAAGAAAACATATTAGTAAAATAAAATGTAATTTCAATAGTTAAGATCATATGAATCAATTGAAGCTAGATCACCATGGGAAACCTGGAAGCATTGAACGGCTATTTCGTCCTATTGTGGAACTCCTCAGTAATGTGTATCCACGATCCTGCCTCGCAAGATTCAAAACCATGATTTATCGGTCTGGCACGCGAACGTTTAAACTATTGAAATTTCAATAATATTCACAAAATGTAATTAATAATAATATTTGATCATCAAATGAGTTAAATTACGAATCAGTTTCATTCATTGTGACTTCTTGAAAATAATGATATATTTCAATAAACTAAAGAGATAAAGTTTGTGATTTAAGGCAATATTGAAGCAGTTCGCACAGGATGCACATATGCTAACAAGAGACTGATCAATTGGAGTCCTAAATAACAATGGGAAGATACAAGTAAAACAACATCGAGTGAATTTAAACAGATAAATATACTGTGATAGAGAAATCATTTGTAAATTTCTCATCTGGTTCTACAATTCATAAATCCAAATTAATAATCCATAAAATTGGTCAGATTTAAGGCAAAATACATCATCATTTGGAAATTGTAATATGTGAATCAAAGATTGTTGTTTATCATATCAAATCAAATCGTTAATGTTGAGGCTGACTAATATAAAGTGTTAACTTGAATCAGTTTATAAGCGAAATGAAATTGTGCAATAAATGATCAGAATAAATATGGTCAACTTGAGGTGAAAGAGAAAATAATGGAATAAAAATCAGAAATTACGTAATATGTAGAATACTAT